GAGGACGCGGTGGGCGGCCGTGCCGCGCTCCGGTCCAAGGTAGGTTCCCCCCTCTGCGCGGGGACCGAGCTTAACCTGCTGGCTGGTTGGGGCGCGGACGTATGCCAGGCAGCCGAAGGTGTGCAGGTGACTGACGTCGGGGGTGACGCCATGATAAGTTGCCCACGGCGTGGCCTCCCGGCCCTGAGAGGGGGAAACATTGCGCAGGAGGTTGGCGTATAGCACAGCTTCCGACCAAAAGCTGTCCGGGAGCGCGGCATCGTACAGCATAGCCCGCACCCGGTCGAGGAGCGTGCGATTGAGCCGCTCCGCTGCGCCGTTCTGCTCCGGAGTGTACGGCGCCGAGTGGGTATGCGCAGTGCCGCGTTGGCGTAGCCACTGTGCCAGCTGCTCGGCGACAAACTCGCCACCGTTATCACTATGAAGGGTGCGGACCCGTGCACCGTTCGGGTTGCGAGCCTCCAGCTGCGTCACCATGTCCTGCAGCGCTTCGCCCACTTGGTTCTTGCTAACCAGTGTGCGAACGGCAGACAGACCGGAGGCACCATCCAGCAGCGTTAGCAAGTAGCGAGCCCCTCCTCGGCCCGTGGTCGGCATGGGCCCGCACAGGTCAGAATGTACGACCTCCAGGACATGCTGAGGCCGGTTACCGCGGCTGACGTGGGCTGTAGCTGTAGTCTTCGCTGTGACACAGGCTTCGCAGACACCCTCTGCCGCCTGACGCAGCGCCGCGGGAGTGACCCGTGGTCCATGTACCAGCTGCTTGGTGATAAGCTGCTCCAACGCCCGGTAACCAAGGTGGCCGAACTGGCGGTGCAGGCGCTGCGCTGCTGCGAGTTCGGCGGCTGAGCACTCAAGGGCGCCCAGCTGCCCTTGGCCGTTGCTGGCGCCGTTCGACTGGTCTCCGCCGGTGTCACTGCTGTCGGCGCCGTTCGGCTGGTCCCCGCCGGCGTCACTGCTGCTGGCGCCGTTCGGCTGGTCCCCGCCGGCGCTGCTGCTGCTGGCGCCGTTCGGCTGGTCCCCGCCGGCGCTGTCTTCCACAGCGCCGAGCGCACTGACGGCGCGTTTGGTCGGCGCCAGCAGGTCCACGTCCATGACGTAATGCCCACGCTCACTCCACGCGGTGATAGACGAACCGCCATGCGGCAGACCTACTCGCGAAAACCGGCGGCCCGCCTTGTCCGTGCCGAACGTGACTGAGCAGCCGCGCGTCACGAGAAGGTCGACGGACATGAGCGTCAGTCCTGAGCTGGGGACATGGAGCACGTTGCGTAGCAAGACGGTTTCTCCATCGCGTGTCCGTAGGAGTAGCTGCCCTGTTCCCATGACGTCGGCTAGCTGATTGTTCCCCCACTTAATTTGCTTGGGCGAGCCGGCAGGAACGTAACTGTGCAACAGTGAGCGGTCACCAGTAAGGTGGTAAGGTGAACCAGAGTCTAGGACTACTGTTGAACTGTTGCCACTGCCACCGACGACCAGCACCGTGGCACGGTTCTGGCGTGAGCTTACACCGCCGCCGCCGCCGCCACTGCTTCCGCCAGCAGTGTCGCTGCCGCTGCGGCGGCCGTTGCCGCGTCTAAAACGGCCGCGTTCTCGCGTCCTGTCGCCCCCGCTGTTATTGCCGCCGCTGGTGCCTCCGCCGCCGCCATCACGATGGCGGTTGCCGCTGCCACTGCTGCCGGCGCCAGTACTGCGTGGCTGCTCAAACGCATTGCTGCGGTAGAGGCCTACGGACACGTCCGCCAGCTTAACGGGACACTCACGGACATAGTGCCCAGGCTGTCCACAGTAGCGGCAGGTGTCGTTGGCCCCCGCGGCGCCCGAGGCGCCGGCAGTACCGCGGACTCCACGGGCGGTGCGACCAGGGCCAACAGCTCCAACCAGGCCGGACTTGACTGCTTGGGCCTTCAGGTTGTTCTCCTTCTCCCGCAGCATGAACACGAGCTGCAGGGTAGTCAAGTTGGGCAAATACATCGCAAACTCGACAGTAATAGCGTACTGTGGAGGCAGACCGTGGAGAATTGCATGACGCATAGCAGCCTCATCCCACTGGCTGCCCGCCGAGATAATGTCGCTGCGGAGCTGCTCCGCCCGCTGAATGAAGTCAGCGGTCGTCTCGTCGTCGCCCATGCGCAGTTGCTTCTGCGGCTCCAGCAGGCTTAGCCGGGCCTGAGAGGCAGAACGGAACTGCAGCTGTAAGAGCTGCATGGCGGCGAGGGTCGTCTGACAGTTCCTGAGCAACTGCTTGACTGGCAGTTCGCAGGATAGACGCAGGTAGCCAAGCGCCTGGGCATCTTCCTCCAGAGCGTCTTGCGCATTGCGTCCCGGTGGCGACGGGTTGGTCATATAGATCCGCAGCTTGGATGTAGCAAGGAAATCACTGAAGTCTCCTAGCCACTGTGAGTAGTTAGACCCGTCCGCTAAGAGGACGGTCTTACACCCTTTTCCCATGTCGGTTGCCTAGCGAGCCTCCCTGCTCAAGCTAAAAGCAACTACAGATATTAACCGCCGGGAACCGTTACCCGGGGCTCATAACCTGTTGGTGAGACGCTATCTCACAGGGACCTAGCAGACACGACTAAGGAGACATTAGCCGTTACACGTATTCGGGAGATCCGCGACCTACCACCGAAAGCCCCTTTGCCTAGGCGTAAACGTGTGAATCTAAGGTACTGTTACCGATAAACAACAGAGACTTATAAAGGCTTGGAAAGCCTATCCCAAAGGACGAGAGCTATCAGTACGCTAGAACCTAACAGCCGTTTTGACGGGCCTCCCGAGACAGGTCCAAAGCTGTCACTCAGTCTAACATGCGACCTCAGACAGGCCACAGCTGTCACTCACGACAGCCTGACAAGTTACCCAAACAGGCCACAGGGCGACACGGCAACCCTTCGCATCAACAGTTGCGTGTATAATGAAGCCCCATAATGAAGCGGCACAGTACCTCGGGATGCACTACGGGACAGGCCAACGGTTTGCCGCCTGCACTAACCAGCTTCTTCTTGCGGCACGGGAACATGCCACTTTTGGCCTCACTTCTCTCTGTCGTGAAAAGAAACGTACCGTACCCAAGCTCAACTTGTCATTTTATAATGCGCTGGCCTTGCCTGTCCTTTCCTACGAAGTGCAAGTGTGGGGATCCGGGTTTTTTAATGTGAACTTCGAGAATGCCGAGTGACCCAGATCCATATGGTCCAGGAGCAGCGCGCGTTCATGTGGACGGTGGTAGGGGCCAGGAGCCTAACTGAGCTTCTGCTGTACTGTGAGCTGTCACAGAGGCCACTACAACTCAGGCATCAGGTTCTCATATCGCGGCTCAGATGTTAAAAACACACACGCACACACACACACACACACACACACACACACACGCAGTTGCCCACAGCGCCGCGCACTTCTATGGGCTCTGGATACCATCTACGCATCTTGTTGGAGAATCCTCCACGGTTTATTTACTGGAAAAGGCACTAGTATACGTCGCTCGACTACGGAGCTCGCATTCGTGCACCAACACATGTTGGCCCGCTCCCGTGTCGCGGTTAATCAACACACACACACACACACACACACACACACACACACACACACACACATACACACGCAGATCGTGCATCCACATGCAGAACCACATGGGGTTCAAACCCTAAGGCATGTTCGGGGAACACATCGGCACGGCATCATCATCATCATCATTGCCTCGCGTTTCCCCCGGGTCTTTTAGCCATAGCAGTCGAAACGCTGCCGTTCGAAACAAATCTTACCCACATGACGAAAAGCGCAAACCAAACAGCCGAGAGAGGTGCATGCGAGCGGTGCACCCGGCCCCCTCCCTCGACCGCTCCCTGGCCCCCGAAGGGTAGCGGACTCGGCGCCTCGTTATCACCTTACCGTGTCGCGGTTAATCAAAACACACGCACACACACACATACACACGCACACACACGCGCACACACAGGCACACACACACACACATCTGGCTCTTTGACTCCTGTGTCCCTCCGTTCCCTTCCCTCTCATCCTCCGCAACAGATCACTGACACCACCAAAGCGCTCTCGGCAATGCGCCGACATTTAACGACATCTATGACACCACCAGCACCACCTGCTTCCCACATCAAAATGGGACCTGCTGTTCCACCAACACTCCTCTCACGCTCCTCCATCCCCCTCACCCTTGCTACGACTCACACCCTCTCGCTCGCGCGCGCGCCAGACGCCGCGCGCATCTCCTTTCGCATACGCTTATCCCTCTGTCTTCCCCTCTCTCTTTTGCGACGACGGATCAACCTTTGAAAGATGCCAAGACGCAAGACGCGTCCTGACAACCCTAGGAAATAAACAAGCAGCACTTCAATGACCGACCGACCGTTAGCGCTAACGGTTAATGACTAGGACATGTCGATTTTGTGATTTTCACTATTTTAAAGGGACATGGCCCATGGGTCGTAAAGTCCAAAGTCAGCAAACCGGTTTAATACGGTTGTTAACGGTTGCCGATGCCAGTTAACGGTATTCGCGATACATAGCATGCATCCATTGACACTTGTCTCGCTCTCCCTCTCCTTCTCTCTCCCCTCTCCTCTCTCTCAAACAGCGACCCTTACCACGACCCTCGCAAAGCCAAGTCACAAACTCCTGCCAAGACAAATATTTGCCAGCGCCAAAATAATTTACAAGACACAATCCCGCTAGCTAGCTAGCTAGATATTCATGGCGGGTCCGAAGGACCCTCCTGCACGCGCCCGGAAAACACCTTCCCTCACAGCTGCGGGAGCCGACATCGCAGGACCGAGCCAAAGTACAAAACTGACACAATTGTACAAACACGTGCCATATCCGTATTATGCCGTATTCCGTACTCCGTACATGCTGCAGTACAACAAACGTCGAATATACATTCGGGAATGGCACACACGCAAGAGAGCGGTCCTCGCTTTTGCAACACGCGCGCACAATCATACCACTTGGGGTGACATGTACGTCATGTCGTACATGGCCTATTGCGGCAACGGAGGCGGCGCCTCTGTCGGTGTACCGCTAGATGCTTCTCCCCCCGGGACCTGGGGACCTTCCCTACCAATACCCGGCACGGCTGTAGCGGTCAAGATTGGTAGATCAGGATCAGGACAGGCACCCGATAGCTTAGCGGCACCCGCCACAGCGGCACCCTCCCGTTCCGCACCTGATCCAGTTCGGGAGACTGTTTGAGAGCGCTGCAGAGCGACGCCGCACGGGTCGTACACGTACGTGAGCATGAACCCCTGCACCGTACGTCATACAACCGCATGGGTTACATGGTTTGTGAGGCCGGGGGGAGGCGCAGAGAAGGATGACATGATGACGACCTGCATGAAGAACTGCGTTTCACACCCCAATACGCGAATGATGCTGCGCTTGGTATTCTTTGAGTGGGTGAGTGAGTGAGTGAGGGAATATGGCCCCCCCCCTCACTTCTCCGGTAAACAACTCTGTGAAGAGAACTGCGTGGTGGCGGATCCGTGGGCATGGTGATCAGTGCGAATAAGGTGCGAATAATACCAGGAAAGAACAATAACATCAATTCCCAACCGTCAACTGCCAACTCCCCAATCCGTACCTTGCCCTTGACGGGAATTCCCACCGTGGAAAGAAACCCGTCGGCCGCGGCGCCCAATAAGGCCCGCGTGGCCGCAGAAATGTGTACGGCACCAGGTACACCCTTGGACTCCATTCGGCCGGCAACGTTGACTGTGGCGAGAAGGGAAAGAGCGATACACAGACTAACGCACGAAGGGGGGAGAGGGGGAGGGCGAGGAAGGGGAGGAGGAGGGCCCGGCAACATGCACTGCCAACAGAAACCGAAAACTGAATTAAAGTAAAAGTTAATACTACTAAAAATTTAAGTAAAATCTTGCGAAGCTTGTGGAAAGGTAGGTTTTCACGTACGATGTGCGGACTTGCCTAGAAATACATCATCTGTCGCAGCAAGCATCGAGCTACATACGCGTGGAGCTACGCACGGCCCCCCCCCCGGGTGCTGCCCTGGCGGCCAGTGGTCGACCTGTAGCCCGTAGGCCTTGCTCTGTCGCGTCGGGGTCGTGCAGTGAATAGTCCCATATATTCCCAAACCAGCCCCAATAAAACCCCAATAAGAACCACGAAGACATTTCGCAACTGCTGCTGGCCGGTACTTCACTTGGAGAGAACGGAGACTGAAAAATAAACTATAAATATATAACCCCAATCTCACACACCTGTGTCGCCAAACAGACAAAAACGGGGCATCTTCCGCCCCACGATGCCGCTCATGACGGGGCCGCTGTGGATGCCTACTCACAGTCGTACAGGCCGTACTGGCCGGTACCGGGCATCATGTCGGCGGCGAATGCAAAGACCTTGTGCGCGTGCAGGGGATCCACGGCCTCTGTAACGGACCTGTGATGTACGGCGGTGGTTGTACGGCGTGGGTACGGCATATGGATTGGCACCGGCAGGAGTGATGTTTAAGAAGTTGCGTATTAAATTTTATCATCAGGGAGCTACAACAAGAGGGAAACAAAAGAACCTTCCTTTTGTTTCGTACCGGCCGTACCAGTCGTACCTGAATCCCTCGGCGTCCTCTTCTACAAGTCCGCCGCACACCATGTAGCAATCTGCGTTCGACGAAAGCGGAAAGAAGCAATTTAGGTCAGCTTCCAGATTAAGCAGCGTTTGCGGCAGTTTTCCAAAGACGAGAATATGAAAAAGATGGTTTGGTACAGGTATCAAAAGCTATGGAAAAAGGATCGAACAGGAGAGCGCCTATCGAACATGAAGATAGGATAAGAGCACCTGGTCTGGAATGTAACACAGTCACGCTGCGAGCCGCTTCCAACATGCTTCTCGGCCGCATAAAGCACGCTTGTCACGCTGGCGCTTAGGACTCTCCGCGCCGCCGTCGCTGCTGGCGCCGCTGCCGCTGCCGTACTAGCTACCAGGGGCGGCACAAACTTGGGACCCGACAACTGATCCGCGAGGGACGCATCCAAGCCGCGGGGGCTGCAGCACTGAAGGCCGTCAGCGCTGCCGTACGACCACCCGCCGCCGCCGCCATCGAAAGCAGTAGTAGGCCCCTGGCCTAGAAGGCCCTGAGACGCCGCTGACGCCGCAATCCGCATGGCGCGGTAGCTACCGTTCAGGGCGTACTCCGTCTGCGCCAGGCGGTTTGACCTGTGAATGAGTGTACGGCGGGAGTTGGCCCAGTACGACAGCTGAGCTGAAGAAGGGCTGTGGATCAGGCCCAAAGGACCAAACAGTCCTGCACTGCCGCCGCCGCCGCCGCCAGCTGCGCCGCTACCGACGGACGCCTAAGTGGATAGCTGCCTTGACGGCATCGTCAACGGAGAGCTGCCGTACAGCGACGTTCCAGCTTGGGCTGGGAATGTCTGGTCGGCGTTCCAGCTGGCACGGTGCGCCAGAAGGGTCGCCACGCTGACGGCGGCGGCGCTTCCGCTGCCGCAAACGCTGCCGCCGCAGCTTGCCTCCGCCTCCAGTACCGACGGCAGAGGACGACTAGAGCTCGCAACGCTGCGAAAGGTGGGTGCCGAGACGTTGCGCGGCAGCTTCATAACGGGTTTGCCGCGGCTGCCGCTGTTGTTGCAGCCGCCACCGCTACTGCCGCCGGCTGTGGCTGCAGTAGCTCGCGGCGGCGGCGGCCCGGTAATAGTGGCCACCACGTCAGGAGAGAGTGAACCGGCGGCGCTGGCGTTGCATTCGGCCGGCGGCGCCTGTGGCGATGGCAAGCTGGCGGACGGCAGATGCGATACCCAGCCGAATCCCCAGGAGCCCCCGCCGCCGCCGCCACCGCTGTCGCCGCTGCCACAGCCAGCGGCGGCCGCAGTAACGACAGCTGTGCTCCCCTCCCCCACCCCTCGTCCAGAGCCGACAGGTACAGCAACCGCCGCCGCCGAGGCGCACGTAGCTGTAGCCGCCGTCGCGCCGCCACCGACCCGCGAGCCCGTGCGGCTCCCGTGCCGCTGCAGCTGCTGTAGCAGCAAGCCCACGACGTCCGTATCGGCGGCAGCGCCGCCACCGACTCCACCGCTGCCACTGCCGCCGCACAAAAGCCCCTGGCTCCATGGCATGCTTTCGGGGACGACGGCAGCGGTGGCGTCGGCGGCCGCACTGAGGGCGCGTTGGCCGGCGCATGGTGACGTGGACGTGGCGGCGACGCTGGCGGCGTCCCGCAGGCCCCGGAGATCTAGGTGTGACGGCATGCAGACGAGACCGCTCCACGTCTTGCCGGCTCGTACGGCATCCCACAAACTGTCCAGCGCTGGCGGTTCGTACGCAAAGATCCGATGTAGCACGTGATCTGGATCCATCAGACCCAAACCAGGCGCCGCTGGCAGCCCGACGGCATTTCCCAAATAGGCAACAGACCTGAGGACGTGGAAGCGGAGGCGGCGCGGGTTTGACATGAACGTCGTTTGTGAAACACGCACACGCACACGAACGCCGTACGCACACACGCCACCCATTCGCACGGTATTTCCCCGAGCGTTTTCTACGACGGTCATCCCGCCCAGCACAACACTTCATGTCGCTCTCCAATCACGAGCTTTCCTTGTAAACTTGATGCTTCTCCACCAGCTGGTCAAAAGTGGTGAAGAGGTCGTTGAGGAACGCCATGACTCGGTGGGGCGGAACCTGACCACACATGCTGGTGAAGGAGGCGATGTCTGTGTACGGCACATAGAGAATTCGAACCATCATCACGTAAATTACACGTGCACATGGGGTAGGAAGAGATTACTGAAGACACAACTTTACGAGTATAACAAAATATTAAAAAATTCAAAAACTTCAAGCATCCATTATAATAAAAAGGTAAACAGCTCCTGGTGACAGTGTATTTTGTATATTATGTAAGCGAGGGACCGTGCGTCAGTTACGGTAAAGTACGGCAAACCGTTGTCGTCAGTTGAAACCGTTGTCGTAATACCCCGGGCGCTAAGTCGAACCACCGCCACACACAGTTCAAACACACCCCACCGGCAACCCACCTGCGAACAGCACCGTCACCTCCTCATGCGCTCACCTCGCCATGTACTGCTGTGCGCCGCTCAAGGCTCCGAAACCACCACACGAGGGCGTGGAGGGTGAGGTGACGCTGTGACTGTGGCTGTAGCTGGAGCCCAATGCTGATTGCGCGTTGGGGAGCTGTAGCGGGCGGACAGGTGGCGGCGGCGATGGGAGGGTGGTGGCGACGGGGGCCGCTGTGGCGGCCGCCTCCGTTGCGTCGCCGCAGAGGCCCGGCGGCGCTGGGGCGCATGCGGCGGCGGCGGCGGCGGCAGTAGCAGCAGCGGCGGCGGTGACGGCGCCGCAGCTGTCAAGGCCGCAAGGCTCTGCGATGTTATCACCGCTCGCATGAAGTTGATGACTGAAGCAGCCGAAGCTTGTACGATCGTCGCAACTGTCGTACACTCCATGGGCTGTGCAGGTGCTGTGGTTATACGACGCCAGGCCACAAGACGTGTGCTTATGAATCCTCTCACTGCCTCCATCCTCGCCCGTAAGAACAAAGTCCCCGATTCGTTTAAAAGCCTCAGTCCTTACCCCGAGAAGTTTGGTGTCGTGTAGTCCTCAAATGAAATGCTAGGTCCAAAAAGATTTTTACAGTTGTCACAACCCGAATCATGGAACTGCAAAAGGGAATCGGCTGAGCAGCGTCCTCAACGCTCCACCGCAACAAACACCGCACCTGGTTGCGCGACTTGATTAGGCGGCACATGTAGCAACTAACAAGATTCTTACTGGTAAGAGCAAAGTCAGAAGGGTCCCGATTGGACTCGCCGTGTGCTGGGACGTCAGCGACCCGTTCCATTTCTGGGCTCCGGGCCCGTTTCTACGTAGATGCTACTCCTAGTACCGTATTAAGCATATATATAGGCTGCACCACAACTCAGGCTGCCCGGAGAAAAATACACGGAGAACGGAGCTGCGCAGCGACGCTGCCGGTATCGTTGCTGTAAGGTTGGGCTGACTACAGTTTAAATTTAAACATATACCGTAGAGGCAAGGAGGTGCATAAATGAAGAACACCGTCACGAATTCAGCTATTGGAAGAGGTCCGAGGCGATTGTTGCAGTTGGGGGTTGACTGTCGTACCAGAAAACCTGCCGAGGTTGTCCCTCAGCCCGGGGAGTACATTGGATTTCCGGGTGCGTATTGTGCAGCACGTAGAAATTACTTTAATTGGTGGGTGGCGGATGCTTTGGTGTGTGGGCCCTTGGGGCTTCTCCTCGCGTCGAAAAGGCATGATCAAATTGCAATAGCCGATAGGTTCAGGTTCGCAGGGTGTCGGGGTTACGTTCTGCGCTTCCTAAGCCCAGGCTTACATGTGTTTGAATCGATGCCTGTAGGGCTGATGCGTGTAACACATGCAACTAAAACCGAAGCCAGAACTCAGAACCATGCCAAAACTCAAATGCCCGAAATTAGCTTCATATCAACAGTTAGATATTTTCATTCTAGACACGTATATTATTGCTTTATACGGCTCGGAGCTGGATAGCTCAGGCTTTTGTGGGTTTGACTGTAATGCACCTAGGTCGTTCAGGCGCCTTCGACGGTTGAAGTTGGAGTTGTCCGTCTCTTGTCTTCCCAGAATGCATGAGCTATGAAATGTTTTGATTGCCTTAAGGATCAGGCAATTGGATAGCAGCACCAGGAAGACTACATCGCAAAGTTTGTCCTCACAATTGCTTCTGTTTGCCCGCTTACAGGCAGAAACTGGAAGATCTGCGTGATGAATGCTGTGAGCAGGACGACAATTACATCTACCTTTCAGCGTGCGATGTTCCGTGTCTCGTCCGTGTCTCGTCCCATGTTAGGGCTCGGTGACATGGAGCGACGGGGAGATGACATGCTGGGCCTAGGCGTTCAAAGCAAACAGGTTAAGCAGGAACTGATGATTTCGAAAACCTTTAGTGTGGGCTTTGATGGGGTACGTAGGCGTTGCGTCCAGTGCCGTTGCGTGCTGTACTGCACTTCACAGTGCAGTTCGTCGTACCCTGTGCAGCGCCTGGTGTATTGTCCGGTGCCATGTTGGACGTTTCCTCGCTATCGTGTTCGGCTGGCGGCTGGCAGCAGAAGCGGCAGCAGCAGCGACAGTGATCGTTACAAGGCAAAGCAAACACCTGTAGGAATGCGTGAGCTATCATGGATAAGATTTTATGCATGTCTTTTCGCTCGTGAACCCAAACAAGACGGCCTCATGAACCACCTCATCGTACCTTGCTGACTATTCCTTCCCCTCCGCCCATCCTCCTGCCCCGTCCTCCCGCCTGCCTCTGGTGCGTCCTTATGGCTGCGCGGCGGCCGTATATCAACACCAATGCCGAGGGCGCAACGATTGGGCGCTACACGAGCTGCAGTCTTTGCATGAGCCCCTGGATTTCAAGATACCTCGCGCTTTGCGGTTGGTCGTACTGTTTAGGGTTTTCAGTTCCGCATTTTGTTGGGAGCGTGCAATCATGTCTGCCTGGCGGTCTGCTGCGACAGCAGCAGTAGCAGCAAAGCAGTAGCAAAGCAAACGATATCATCCCCTCCCGCCCCGCCCCACCTGTTCCCCGAACCGCGTACCCTCCTTTTGACCGGCGGCGCTTGGCGGTATCCACGGTGCAAGCACCCTCCAGATGATACATGCGGTAAGTCGGCGATATGGATCCGTGCCGTGTCGTGGCGTGTACTACATGTTTCTTGCCGCCGTGCCGATTGTGTTTTCCTGCGCCGCGTATCGCGTGATTATGCAGTCGTACTTGGCTGGCGGTTGGTGGCAGCAGCAGCAGCAGCAGCAACAGCAGGAGCAACAGTAGCAAAGCGCAGCGGAGCAGACCCCTTAAGGAAAGGTGTCCAGCCCTAAAACAAAGTCCGGATTAGCGTTGCTAGCCACCATCCAAGCATGATTGCTGTGTATCTCAGTATGTGCCTGTGTTTAATGACCTCGTTGTGGGAAACGCTGCCCGTCGCGGTAATGGACGCCGCGCTATCGCTCCACAACGACGCCTTCCGGCAACTGCTGCCACGGTACCGCGGATATGAATGCCACACGGTACGGTGCGGTTCCTTACGGTAACGTACGGTGCGGTACGGGTGCAAGGGTTTCAAATAAAACCTGCAGTAGCATGTCGTAAAACACAGCAGGATTCCGGAAGTGGTCTCCCTGGTAGTGGCCTGAGTTCTCTCTTGCTTCCCTGCGCGGGAGTGCACTGTCTGTCTGTCACCAGGGAGCAGTTTTTCCGCAGGAGGGCGGGTGGTGCATAGGAGGTGAGATAGAGAGGATAGGAACGGTTGAGAAGCGCCAAGGCCTCGCCGGTGTCCGTTTTTAGTAGTCCCTTAGGTGGAGCTGCCAAGAGCGCACCACTCGCCAGCCCCACCTCCGCGTCCGTTGTTCGTGTCGCTATTTGCGCGAAGCGGGACTTTGCAATGCAGGGCCCGACCACCGCATGCTCGCCTGATGCTCGTACGGTGGGTTTCTACCCGCTCAGGTTATGGGCTCGCGGACGGGTAAAGGAGGTAAGTGCGCTGTTTCTAGGAAATGGGACGTTCTCTGACGCGCTTGTGTTTTCCCTTTATCGTTCTTCCCTAGATGGCAGAGGCGCCTGGCTCCGCTGTCTTCTTCCCGAGGCTCGTGTTGGTGCTGCTGTGGCGGCGGCGGCACCCCGTCGTGGTGCTGAGGGGGGCTGAGCACTTCACTATTACGAGTGTCAGTATGTGCGTTGATTTGAGTTGAGGGATGTGTCCAGCAGATTACCAATCTGTTTCGGCTGTACGGGCGATTAACTGGTCGGTTGCTATCGGTTGTGGTGTCGTGACTCTTCCGTGTGCCGTAGTTTGTGGAGCATCATCCTATTGTGTTTTTCATGTCGCGGTACGGTACGAGGATTAGTGATAACTGCGCAGTGGGCTTTGGCCGGAGGCTGGCGGCACAGCAACAGCAGCAGCAGCACTGTGTCGTACCGTCGAGGTGTATTGCGCGCTTGATTTGCTATGAGCCGGCAATAGACACATCACACGCTGACCAGTGTTTTTTTTTTCATTTCTGCCGGTTAATTTTCCAGTCCGAACGGAGGAATAGGTTTTTAGTCGCGGGAATAAAGGTATTCCGAATCTGTAAGCCGCTGGGGGGGCCTCCGCCCCCCCCAGACCCCCCCCCATGAGTTACAGTTTAGTTCGTGCAAACGCCGGGTTTGGGGAATGTCGCAACACGCGCACACCAATCTCTCAAGCACTGATCGAATAGAGTTCGTTCACCATCGTTCGTCTTGCATCACGTTGAAAGATAACACTACACGACTTTCCAGGTTGCAGAAGTAATGATGCATAGCAGCAATGAACCGGAACCACCAAACGCAACCGGTTTCCTGGGCCATCGCGATTGTATCCATATGAGGAACATTGATGTTTGCCCCGCTCGCTGTTGACAACCGGAGTGGCGTCATTGTCGGCGGCTGGCTGCAGCATTGCGTCCACATTGCCTACGACCCCTACACCGTCTTCATTAACGTCGCTAATGGCTTCAGTGAAATTTAATATCTGCTTTAATGGCCTTCAATGCTTTGGGAGCTTCGGGTCCGAATGTTTTGCAGCGTTTGGTCCGGTCAGAAACAGTCCGATTCCTCGTTGACTTTCGGGCGTGAGCTTCCTAACAGTATCCATGGCATTAAAGTACTATGATATGGGTAACATGTATGTCTCCTGTAAGATTCTAGCGGGTTTGGCATGGACAGTCCATTTTGGCTGGAGGAATGAACTTGTACGGTTGGAACATTATTTATTCTTAACTTTCAGGACCACGAACATTTTTTTATTCCGAATTCGGAATATATTCCGCAAAAAAATAACGCTGACGCTGACTTGTCCACACACACACACACGCCCTCCCCGCTTGTTTCTCACTGTATGTCCGCATGAACCTGGTCCTGCAATCAACATGATGGTCCTGCTGCTGCTGCTGCTGCTACTGCCGGAGTTGAGTACCTTCAAGAGCTGCGATTACTGGCGGGTGCCTGAGGGAAATTTCTTGCGAATCTGTGTATGGCAAGGAGCAGAGGTGCGGTTAGGCCAGAGGTGAAGCCAGTGCGGCGGCGTTGGTCGTGGAACTGGTGGCGGTGGATGGCGCGATGGACATGGATAGGGTGTCTGTATTTTAGATTCGGCCCCGGGGACCTATTTCCATGTGGGTTCGAGCCCCACCGTGATCGAGGCTACAGCCGAGCTCGCGGCTAAAGCTTCACCTTGTCCACACCTCTCTATTTTCTCGTTTTTATCCAATAGATATGTCTAGCAGAAGATAAGGAGAAACTGCAGTAGCAGCAAAGTGCGGTTGTCCGATACGCGCTCGATGAGAAACGGCGCCAGTAAGCGCCACATCCAGGCCGCGTGCCGTTGGTGTGTAAGTATTTCAACAGTTCGTAGCGCCCGCGTGCGCTTTGGTCGTCAAGCCCTGCACCCGCGTCGGCTCCCTTGTTGTGTGCACTTCGGTATCTTACCGTTACATTGCCACCATTTATCTATGACGCGGCAATTGTCATTTTAGGAGAATTCGGACTGGAAAATTCACCGGCAAAGTTGAAAATAAACAGAGGAAGGCAGGATCTGCCAGGTAGCGGCTGCAGGGTGAAGATATGACCCCCCTGTCCCACACATCATACATACTCTTGTACTTGGATGTGTCGGACTGTCTGTCTTGCAGCCACCCTGTGGACCACTATCAGGCTACCGCAGCTCGGTCGGCATCATGAAGGCAGCTGCTGATTACATATTGTCACTTGGTGTTGGGATGACAGCACAGTGATGGAGCTGATCATGAACTTGTTGGAGCAAGGGATGGATGGCAACAAGTGATAGGGAACGGAAATGTGGCGGGAAGGGGCTAACGGGCGAGGGTGAACGGGAGGGATATAGGGTGATAGGGAGCTGGGCGGTGCACGATCTCGCTGCTCACAGCAGTGCTGGGTGACAATGATGGTGCATCGATGGATGACCTCGAAAGAAGAAGCTACGGATGGCTTAGCCCTGTCAAAGGAAAGCCCCCCATGATAGTTCCATGGCGCCCTTGTTCGGGCCGCAGTTCCTTTTGTAAGCAAACGTGACTTAAAGCACCTTAGATACTCAAGAAGAACTTCAAGAACCATAACGCTGTATCAATAGCTCTTGGCACTTCCGCCATGGGCAGATTACGTCAATCGCCCGCTATGCCACATAAGCAAAAATGAAGCAACGGCCTTCATGATAACTTGACCTGTTGTGTGCAAGGGCTTGCACTTAGGGATCTTGCTTCCGGGGGGGACGTAACCAGGTGCAGAGGAACGGAGGTGAACGTGATAATGCAGTGACATACAGCTATAATATAAAAGTTTAACAGGCTAACTGTCGACAAAGTGAGTTCGCCGAACTGCACCTTACCAACACACTTGGATTTGCAGCTGTTGCGCAGCTTTACCGGACGCCGTACAACTTAGCTGGCCTCTGACAAAAGGCACCTCCCATAGCACTTCCAGCTCCATTAGCAAATGTGCACAACGTCCGATATTTGATCACAGGCTTTCACCCAACGTTTGAGCCCTTCTTTTCGGCCTGTTCCAGCTCTGGTGCGTCCGTAAAAGCTGCTAGCTTCCTACATATGACCAGCAAATGAGGAAGCCTGAACAGCTGCGCGGCGCCCTGAGAAGCTGTTGTGGACCCTGCAAACGTTTGCAAGGTACTGTTCGTTGCAAAACCTTCATGCTGTAGCCGCCGCACTTCAGTTCCATTGCTCTAATTTATTACGCGGTTATATCAAGCATTTATTTATTGAACCCCTGCTGACGTTGCTTCAGGCACAGCGTCGCCGCTTCATGGACATGGACTTGCCTGACTCATCTGTGAGGGCAAGGTGCGACTTGCGGCAACTCATTTTTTGAGGTGAGATGCTTGATTCTCGAGCTTGTGTATGGATCTTTGAAACATAAGGGGCTTTGTCGACGGGCTTTCGACGGGCATGTGTTTGTGCAGCGCTCTGCTGCAAGAATATGGGCGTATGCGGCGTTTGAGCGTAATCCCGACAGTTGTGCTTTAGCTGTGTAAGGAGCCTACGAAGGCTGAAAGCTAGGCGGTCTGGCAGGAAAGTACACGTCGTTAGGCGAGACATGACCACTTCGTCCGATGTCCGTGACCTTCCTCGCGACAGAGACG